AAGCCTTATTCTTACTTTCCCTGATTTTTTATATACATAATCAGGCCCCTAGATTTATGACCGGGGAAGTACGGTAAAACCTTGTAGGTAGTGTAAATATATTTCTGAAAAAAACATGAAATGTGGATTCAAATTTAGTAATGTTTACAGAATTTGAATGTCAATGTTAAAGAGCATATAAACAATTCCTTACAATCTTAAATTCTATATGGGGATATAATTTATTCTGAAATTTGTTATTTTTCTATATAGGGCTTTGGGGTGGCTGCCAAATCTACACAAGACTGTAGGCGTACAGATCCAATGAGTATAGTATTATTTCACCAAGCTGATATAGGAGAATACATCAGACATGAAGAGACTCTAACATAATATTTATTTTATTACAAAACAGGTAAGACCACACACATGGTATGAAACAAACGAGTTGTGATTTGTTAAATGCGATGCAACATATTTTTGCCCTTCCAATTCTCTATTATTATGTTTCATAGCTATGTAGATAAGTGGATGATAACGCAACACTATTTGAAGGAGGGTGGAAACAAGTCATGTGGTCCTCTTTCTGTCAATGAGTTCTCATCTCGATGACCATTTGCACCTAAGGTCTAAGGAATTGTTTAAAGAGAAATATTTAGTGGGTTTAATCTTAGCTGGTTAGATGTAGGTTTTAAATTGACTAGTTTGTGAAGAAACAACTTATTTAATCCTGGTACATTCTTTACTTAACATATTTATTTATAACATATTTAGGTATCAGTGAAGTAGGCCAAAATTAAACTCAGCATAGATCCAGAAATATCTGAAATATTTGTTCAACAGTGGGTGAGCAGGAAATGTGAAAATCATTGCAAAAAAAAAACAACTAACTATCCAGGAGCGTAAATTTCTGCCATCTGTGCTGACCTTTTTCATTGAGAGAAAGTAAAAATGGTCTTCACCACTAGAGGGCGCCATTGTACGATTTCAAACTACTGGTACTAGGAATGCCTGCTAATATTTCAAATCAGTTATTTACTTAACCAGGAGTAATTTGAAGGTAATTTGAAGAGTTTACAAAATTAGATTAATCTTTTGAGAACCAAGGTCAACTTTTGTCACAATTCACAAAATTCCACCAAAATGTTTTGTCTACTTGGTTCAAAAAAAAAAAAAAAATTATAGAAAACTACATTTAAATTTGTAAATGTTACACCAGATTTGTGGCAAACAAAAATTCAATGGGTTAATAGTTAAGCTGCAGTGTGAAATGCTTATTTTCAACTTAAATTCTTTGAGATATTTTTTTTTAATTTAGTCATAACCATTATGACACTGCATTGAATGCAAATAAAAAATTCATGACTGACAACAAATGGGTAATAAAAGTCAAACTTCTAACATTAATTAATACAACTGTTACATTTTAATGATGATGCCTATCATTATACATCTCCATTCCCAATATATTTTTTGCATCGTTTACCTCGGCGTGCATTCTCGTATACTTGCTGTTAGTTATTTATCATCACCAATAAATAACCTTCTAATTAGTTGTCATAAATATTAATAACCATTTTATTTTGTCTTTAACTGATACAAGCTGGTAACAGCCGTTGTTAATATATACCATTGTGTATGTACTTAATATGCTTAAAGATTATCCAGCATATTGAATTTGTGACGTTGATATATTCTGCTACTGACCATACTGTTACTCTTCAGTCCTTGCCTCATTTTGTGTTCATTAAAATTATTCAGCAATTTTTTAACATATAGAAATAAAGATTGGATACACTGACTTTGAAATTTCAAAATTGGCAACTCAACTTGATTACTGGTTACACTACAACACCCTTGTAACTTTGGAAATACATTCTATTCTAATTTATGTAAGATTGATGTATTTTTGGGGAATTACTAAAAAAAGAAAATATATCATTATATGTTATATATCATTAAAATGTTATATATCATTCCTAAAAAGACTGCTTCTTCGGAGAGGAAAATTTACCAGCAATGGGACGTTTTCAATGTTTTTTACGTCAAACATGACAAGTAATGTAGTGTTGTACCCTCAGAAAGTACCAGGATGTGTGACCTTTAGGGTTCATACAATAGTACCCTCCGAATGTACCAGGATGTGTGACCTTTAGGGTTCATACAACAATACCCTCAGAATGTACAGGATGTGTGACCTTTAGGGTTCATATAACAATACCCTCAGAATGTACCAGGATGTGTGACCTTTAGGGTTTATACAATAGTACCCTCAGAATGTACCAGGATGTGTGACCTTTTGGGTTCATACAACAATACCCTCAGTGTACCTGGATGTGTGACCTTTAGGGTTCATACAACAATACCCTCAGAATGTACCAGGATGTGTGACCTTTAGGGTTCATACAATAGTACCCTCCGAATGTACCAGGATGTGTGACCTTTAGGGTTCATACAACAATACCCTCAGAATGTACAGGAT